CGAGCACCTCGTCCAAAACCTTACTAATTTTTATGCTCGAATTGTTTGTCGCGCATGCTCGTGATCTACGATGAGCGCAAATTTAAATTCGATCATGTGAATGCTGACAGCCTGACACCTGCTGGCAATTAATGATTATTTGTGCATATCCTATACAGATGAAACATATATATTAATTGAATATTGGGGAATTTATATAAAGCAACTTTCAAACTGAGAAACATTTTCTCAGTTCAGAATTTTCGTATGGTAAAACATCATTTAAAATGGACAGAGCGAAATTTATAGAGAACAAAAAAAAATTGCTAAATCTTTTGGTAAATTAGTAGTACATTTGTCACATCTAAAACACTAAGAAATAAAAAGCAATTAATATTTCCAAAATTATATATATATTGGTTTTACGCCAGGTTTATGCAGTAAATTACAAAAGGTTATATTGGCCTACGTGTAAAAAGATAAATTTCAAAGTAATTTGGGATAACATTCTTACGAACAATAACAAGTCAAGCCTGACAGTCCAATATATATTAATTAGATATTCAACTTTGCAAGGACCGCCAAACCAATGTCATTGCGAACAACACTCCAACAGACTAAACTTAAATACGCAATTTAATTAAAGAAACAAAAAACTTACTAAAGTTTAAACTTTTACTAAAATATATTATATCCTGAATCTTAAATTTATCATTAAATTTTAATCACTTTTAAGTCCAACTCACTTAATTTAAAATATGTTTAATTTAAAAGAAAAAAATGACACAGGAAGTTTTCTTTTTTATTTAAATTGCATTATTTCGTAATTGCAATGAATCATTAATAGATCGAAATGCCAAATGGCATGTACATTATAAGCACACGAGCTAACGAATTAGAACAACGTATGAATTAAAAGAAAAAAATTATCTTCAGAAAGCTCTACATTACAGTTCACATCCGAATTTCAGATCTGAAATACGTTCAAACCAGCTGTGTGGTCAGAGCAAATATTTCTGACACTTTTGGGGGAGTTAAAAAAATTTGCCCAATTAAACCTGGTCAAACACGGAATTCTACTCGTCATAATACAACCTATTGCTTTCAATAATACAACAATTAACGAAGTCAAGCGAACGTTTTTGGTGAAAGTCCTCGAATATGGCAGAAAAGCGAGCAGAATATACGAACAGAATCGCTCCAGAGCCTGCTACCTTTAGAGAGTTAAAGAAAAACAATACGCCACGTTACCATGGGGATACGCTGAGAATACACACAGGTGGAAAAAAGTTGAAGGTAAAGAAATTTATCACTTGAAATGAATTTGTACTACTGCAATTCCCTACTGTTAAAGAGACCGTCAGGGATTAATACAAGTATTTAGTCTACATGTATACTGCCCTAGACGAACACTACCATGCACTTCCACCCAAACCCCCGACCCAGCCCAGAAAATTGTGGATTTTGTCCCTATGAAATAACATTGCTGTCTCAGTAAATAAGTGATAAATATTTCCCTCAAAAGATAAAAATGCTGTCTGAATGCAGGGAATCCAGACCGAGGGAAACAGTGTGTTTATGGACCCGAGAGGGGCCACAAAACACACTGCTTGCACGAGGTCTCAGTAAATAAGTGTTTTGTTATATAGTATATAAGTGTCAAAGTATAAATAATTCATCGGTTATTGGAGTGAACTTAATTTGAAATCAAAACTGGATAAATGTAACGCCGTAAATGTTTAGTAAAAAGTTTTAAAAATGAACTTTGGAACTTCATGGTTGACACGCGCATGCATATTGCACCAATTTTATTATTGACCGGTAAATAAATGTTTGATTGCGGACCGATGGCGAACATGACATTTTGTGGACCGGCACGTGACACTTTTTTGACCAATCGGCAAACAGAAAAATTGAACTTTGACACTAACTATATAACAAAACAGTTTAATGGCGTGTTGAAGCTTAAGAATGCAAAACGATCAAATACTTTCTTCCTTTTACAGTTAATTAATATAATTTTTTCAAAGCATATTGTGAAAAATATTATTATGGACTCGGAAAAAGATTGAGTTTTAAAACTCAAATGAAGATTGGGTTTTTACTGCCAGTATATTAATCCCTGGCCATATACACTTTTGTTTCACTTAAGCATTTACGTGTAGGTATAGTAGTGTGGCTCGAACGGTCCCTGCCAGCGTAGGTAGTGAAAAAAACCCACAGAAAACTACGGATTTATTGTATTTTTCAGGTACACACGTAAAAACGCACAAGTTGTAACAAACCTGCAGCAAACTTGTAGCAATGCTGTTCCAACAACTTGTCAACAGGATGTGTTCGCACTGCTTGTTCCCAGCTTGTTGACAAGTTGTCAACGGTTTGTTGACAACTTGCTACAAGGTTGTTGAGCTCAACAGACTTGTTACAAGTTGTTCCAACAACTTGTTATCGTCCTGCAATTCAACAATTTGTCAACAAGTTGTGAGTGACAACCTTGTAGCAACTCGATAAAATAACAACATTGTTACAACTTGTTGGCAAGCTTGCCACAAGCCTGTCGCGAACACATCTTCTTGACAAGTTGTGAGATTTTTACGTGTGCAGTTGAATATCTATACCAATGCGCAGTTTTACATTACTACACGCAAAAACGCACAAATTTCTCCCGCGGGTTTAGATTTCCGGGCATGCGAAAGGAAAGGAGGGACATTGAGGGAGGGACTGCCGACAACACATCAGGAAACGAAATACGCGTTGCCCACACAACGCAAAATTCCCATTGGTCGAAATCGACACGCCTGTCAATCAAATGCTTTACAGTCAACTCGGCCCACTAACCAACTCGGCCCACCGTTCAAGGACCAACTCCGCCTGCTCTTAAACTGACTAATCTAACCTTTAATTTAAACAAGCTAGGAGCCATGACTGCATTCTATCTTTGCAAATTTTGAGAGAGATTTGAATGATCAGTAATTTAGTATCAAAACGGACAGATCGAGAATTTAAAACTTCGATAGATTCTTTATTTTAATTAAATTAAGTCAAACTGGATGTTCTCAAACTTTACTCCAATGCAAATGCAAATGGCTGTATTGGTTTGGTCCTATCTTTTGTAAAATATTAGCTTTCCCAATATGTCAAACAGTAGTTAACAATTGGGCCAAGATGGTATGGGCCGAGTTGGTCAGTGGGCCGAGTTGACCAGCTTCCAATCAAATCTGATACGTAGTAATTGAATGCTATAAATAATTTCCAGACTGAATGTTGATTTTATCAATAAACATGACATTAACGGTTCCTATTGGATAGATTTAATTGGATATAAGTACTGTAATGTTTATGCAAAGGCGGAGCCAACTTGACAAGAGCAAAAAGTGGGCGTATTTCGTTTCTTCATGTGTTGTCGGCAGTCCCTCCTTTCTCCCGAGGGACTGCTCGCGGTCTAAACAAATTGTAACAAATCTGTTCACAAGCTGTCAACAAGTTGTGCTCGCACTGCTTGTTCCTAGTTGTTGTAACAAGTTTGGAACAAGCTGTTGACAACTTGCAACAAGCTTGATGAGATTATCAGACTTGTTATAAGGTTGTTCTAACAATTAAGTCTGATACAGTCGTGATATAACAAGAATGTTACAAGGTTATATCATGACTGTATCGGACTTTTTAAAACGACCTTGGAACAGGTCTGATATTAATATCAACAAGGTTGTTACAACTGTTAACGAGTTGTTCCATACTTGTTGACAACTTGGGACAAGCAGTGCGAACACAACATGTTGATGGCTTGTTGCTACAAGATGCGATATTTTTACGTGTGTATAGTATGGCTACGATTGCAATTTGGAAAAGCATGCACAAGTGAGTTTTTCAAAGTACCATTAAGCAGCAATGCACCCAAATGCACCCTACTTTATTTTTTTACTCTGTCTAGCACCAGACAATTTTACTAGCTCTGTCTAATGCCAGACGATTTTACTCGTCAAGGAGAGAGTCTTGCACTCTGGTTAATATTATTATAAAATAACATGTATATAACGCGTGCTCTGATTGGTCGAAACCCGTGTTTGGATCAGGCCATCCAAACACGGAAATTTAAAGTGAAAGTTTTTTAAAGTGAAATTTTAACACGGAAAGTTGTTATTTTATGAAACAATTACTTTATGGTTTCCGTGTTTGGATGGCCTGATCCAAACACTTGGGAATGTTGCTCGAGTTAAGAAAAGCGTGCAAAATCACTCGCCTTCAGCTCGTGATTTTGCGCGCTTTTCTTAACTCTTGTAACATTCCCGCGTGTTTGGATCAGGCCATCCAAACACGGAAACCATAAAGTAATTGTATAAACATCATGGTTTTTACTAATTTACCATATGGGAAATCTATAATAACAATAATGGTGACAGTTCAGTTTTTACATTCAAAAACCCATTAATGGAAAGCTAATTTTTTTCCTGTGCTATTTTAGATCAAACAAGGTTGGTCAGAGATAAAGGATCCAATTGAAAATCTAATTGATATTCCCGCAACACCACAACCAATGAACGTTCGTTGTGCTTACTGTAATAAAGACATTACCACAGAGTTGAAATATGTCTCAGGAGGATTGACTTGGATCGTCTCATGTATTCTAGCATCATTTGGAGGGATATTTGGATGTTGTCTGTTGCCTTTCTACATCAGAACTGTCAAAGATGTCCTACACTGCTGTCCAAAATGCCACGCCTATCTTGCGGTATATTACAGAATTTAGCTGGATTCAATAGACCTTTCCCCTTATGAGTGAAATTTTGATCTAGATATGCCTGGACAAAAATTTCATCACAGCTTGAAAGAGCATCGCAAAATTAGTGATATTCCGAAGTTTCGTTGCGAAATGTTGTAAAATGCGGATAATATAGCCTTGCGAAGTTTGCCCTTTTTCAGTCATTATCAAACTGATTATCAATTTCCCATTTGTAATGCAAAATGACTGAAAAACGGCAAACTTCGCAAGGCTATATTATCCGCATTTTACAACATTTCACAACAAAACTTCGGAATATTTACTAATTTTGTGATGGTCTTTCAAGCTGCGATGAAATTGTTGGCCAGACTTGTCTAGATCAAAATTTTACTCAAAAGGGGAAAGGTCTATTATACTCCGCGTAAAGGCAGAATTTTGAGTGAATTGGAATAAGGCTATATAAAGCCGAAACAATACAGCTATATCATCAAACATAAAGGAAATTGTTTCCTTAATTTACAATTTTTTTTGTGTATTTATGGAATGTGACTCGTACACAATGAAAATGATTAAGGCTATCATTGCCAACCACCAGTGGTGGAAAAAGTATCGGTTCCCAGAAATTTTTTTGAGTTGAGAGTTTTGCAGAAAATTTTCCAGAAAATATTTCAACATTTTGAGATAATTCTACTATTCTACTTTATTTACACTGTACATGCTAACATCAGCAGCCCTTTTAAATATTTGACAGAAATTAATTCTTTTACCCACCCCTGCCATCACAATGAGGTAAAATGGTAAATATATGCTCTGCAAAGTCTCCAATAAATGCAAATTAAATAGTAAACAAATAAAAGTGATGGAATAAATAAGATGATAGGACACTTAGTTAAGCGTTAGATCCTTTCTAGTTGGTCATAACTCATAACTGTGGTATATTGCGATGTACGAGCATCCGAAAACCAGCCTATTTAAGCCTATTATTACTAAAGTACAAATAATACAATAATGATGCATTTGTTTTGTTATTTTTGTAATTGTAACATTGCAAATTTTACAGAAAATTTCTAAACTTTGACCCAGGTTCCTAGAAAGAAAAAAAAATTTTCCACCCCTGCCAACCACACATATAAAGAAGTAGTGTAGTATGTGCATAATTGTAAAAATGTAAATATGGGTTATTTTATAAGAAAATTAAAGATGCAGTACAGTCTGATCTGTGCATGTGCACAAAGGAGCCCTCTTTTTATTATACAAACAGTTTATTTAGGTTATTTCATTTTATGTTCTTGCAAAGCTTGATTGTTGTGTCTTGATAATTTATTATACTCTATATATTATCATGAAAATATAAATAGTTGTCGATTAAAATTCAATATTTTGGATGCCAAAATGTAAACAAAGCCTTTGTTTACATACGGACTGTGCCACATCTTTAATGAAACACATTTTCATTTGTGAAAATCACAATTCAATTAGTAAATCACAGATTATTATTTTGAAATCCTGTAATGTAGAATGTTATGATCATGTTTGTCCGAAGAACTTGAAGGATGGCATACAAATTGTATATAAATTGTATGGTGAAAAGGCAACCTGTCTGACACAGTGACACTTTTTGAATTGTAAGCAAAGCTCATTTACTAAACTATTATGTTAACATTTCATATGTAGAACATGATATTCAGGGTCTGAACTTGCATTATCCCAATATCCACAGGATACTAAAATTTGGTTTTGGACACCAAATTGTGAATGGTTAGCACTATTTTCCATCCAGCAAACTGACCTGACGTCATTTTCGGAAAATGGAAGAGGTGTTAAATGGCTAATTGTAACTAACCCAAACCCTACCCCTACTCTACTCTAACCCCTAACCCCAACCTCAATCCTAACCCTAACCAAATTAATAACAAAAATCCAAAAAGGAAGACTTTAGAAAATCGATAGGGCGGTTTGCTGGATGGAAAATAGTGCTAACCAATTTTATACAGGATAAATTTGATGGCTCAGATATACCAAAGTTTATGGTAACCAGTATCCAGAAGTGGGATACTAGATTTCTCATCTGGGATACTAGAACTTTGAATCCTGGTATATAGTGAGATACTGAAAAAAGAATTTTAATTTCAGACCCTGACAGGTAGTAGATCTGGATGCCGGGGGTGGGGGAGCTTCATTCAAATTTGCACACAACTGAAAATTATTTACAAAAAAAACTAGCAAAATAAACACTTACGTCTTTCGGTGACTTATCACTTATAAACGTCATACTCGTGCCGGCAACATCATCTCGCCAATCACTAAGTAAACTAAATCGCCAGTAAACTAAGTTGTTAAAAACACCATTTTTGATGAAAACTTTTAGAAATTGCTCATGATAAAATTATTCACATTTTTATCACCCTCTTCCCCCCCCCCCCTGTCACAGAATAAGAAGTTATACCAGAAGCGTAACTCTAGTCGTTTCCCTTATTGTTTGACGTCCACGAAAATTTTTAACTCGCTCACGTCAGGCCACGCCATCCTGGCTAGTACAGCCGGAAGTTTTTATCAGGATTTGGTAG